GGTACACCCCGTCGAGACCAAGCTCCTCAAGGGATGCGACTGTGTTGAATAAAGCGATTCTAGGGCGGTTAGAGATAATTGAGCTAGCCGCCGTAGACTTAAGATAGGATAACATACTTGGTTTTTACAGGATCAATAAATGCAAAGTTGTTGAGGATTCCACCCATCGGTGTCTCACCTCTTCTAGCATGCACTGCTCAATGAAAAAGCGAGCAGTGTCGACCTCGTGAACAAGCTCGAGATACAGGCTCCCATCAGTCGTCACGTCGTATGCCAACTCGAAAATTAATCTTGAGTTAGGCTTCCTCCTTTCGAGCAACGCCATTTGCAGCATAGCATGACAGCGTCGTCCCTCAGCTCATTGGAGTTGAGGAGAAGTGGATGGACGGGAGGGCGGGATGCCTGGATAGTACGATTTCACATAACAGAACGAGTGTGCTAGCACGTCTGGATCCTTCTGTGCACCGTTAAGAACCAGCCTCATTGAGGAATGGAGCATAGGCTCCAATCTATACCATTTACGCCCACGGGGGGACACTTGCCTTCATAGTTTTGTGTCCCAGGGCACTAGTGGCTGGTATTGTGCAGTGAAGCTCTCCGTAATCTTTTGCTGAAAGTATTGCTCGTCAGCAACTACACCCATCTTGACCTCAGCCAACGTGTCGTCGCTCTCGTAGTTCCACCTATCAAACCCGGTCAGGCCAACATCTTTGCCATCTGCATCATAATGAATGCATATCCAGAAAAGCACCCAGAAAAACGACTCCAGATCGTGCATGAACGAATGCTGCTCGCCGAGGAGCGCCCCGATTGCCTTAAACGCCCGCGTACCAGTCTTTCCCTTGGCACCAGAGGACCCTTCTCTTGGCTCTCGAACTGCCAGGTCAAGATCAATTAAGAAAGCAGACTAGGATGGGTTGCGACTGTCCTCATTGATCATGAGATTGTCGATGGATACGTCTCTGTGGAGAATGCCCGCCTTGGACAAAGACTCGTGGGCGTCAACGCAGCATACCAGTGCAGCAAGCAATGCTGATCGAGAGCTCGCCATAATCCCGGAGAATGATGCGCCAATGAACCTGATTGGGCGGTACTTGGCACCTTTGTTGGAGACATGGAGCAGGACCGCTTGCTTGAGGGCAAAGCGGAGTCGAGTTGGCTGGAGGGCCGCTTCTTGCTGCTGCCGGGCCGGCCTTTCCGCGGGTCATCTTTTACCATCTTGTTTGGTGGTATCTGTCGTCCCAGCCGGTAGTTAGCGCTGCCATGATATCTAGACCATGTCGAATGTTGTTCCAGATGTCACCCTCTGTCTCACGAATCTGGACCGTTTCGTGGCGATAATACCGGGCCACATTTACAATGCCTTTGTCCGTCACTTCACGCAGAAGATCGCCTTCCTCATCGCGCTCGGGATATTGCCATGAATCCTTGATGACAAGCGGCGTTTC